CAGCCTGGGCATTTTCCACGACAGTGTCCCGAGACTTCTGGGAGTCCAGCTCTCCAGCCACCTTCAGAAAAACGTCTTCAATTGTAGGACGCTTACGCGGTATTCCGTGACACCCTCTTGTTCAAGCCTAGAAATCAAAGAGGCTGCTTCTGCAGAAGTCGGAACGGTATACACAGTTTCTTCAAAGTGGGTTTCTTGGGGGATATCATGGAACACATGGCTCAATGCTGCCCCCGGCATGTTCAAAACATGGATACGATATCCTGAGCCAAGCCGATGCTTCAATTCCACGCTCGATCCCTGCGCCTTGAGCACGCCCTTGGACAGAATGGCAATGTGATCGGCAAGAAGGTCCGCCTCATCCAAGAAGTGAGTGGTTAGCAATATAGTGCGGGAGCCTCTCTCAGCTAAAAGAATATCCCATATTTTCCTTCTCGAGATTGGGTCAAGACCAGATGAAACCTCGTCTACACAGCAAACGGAGGAAGCACCAGTGAACATCATTGCTAACTGAACCTTTCGCTTTTGTCCACCGGAAAGGGTTCTCGTATATGACTTGACTTTCTTATCAAGGTCACAATCATGCAAAAGCTCTAAGAGTTGGTGCTCAGTATCAACCTTTTCAGTGGCCTTGAGCCTGTTGAAGATCTTGACATGCTCTTTAACAGTTAGGGTATCCCAGAGTACATTTTTCTGCGGACAGAGACCAAATCTACCACCTTCTGCCCCATAGTCTATGTTGATCTCCCCAGCGGAGATTTTTGTTAGACCAGCGATAGCATCTAAGGTAGTAGACTTTCCTGATCCGTTAGCCCCAAGAAGGACCATGATTTGTCCCTTTTTGACATCCATGCTCAAATCATTCACTGCCAGAACAGACTGACGGGTACTGCCAAATCGTGTAGCGATATTTCTGTAAAACCATCCTGGTTTGTAGGATTTTGTGAAATTTTGTAATCCGAGTGCATTCGTCGAGGTGGCAGTGCTTGTGGCCTTTCGGCCCTTTGATGCCGTACTATACAGTATGCGCTCCACCATAGCCGCGAGCAACGGATACACGAGTATTTGGATAATAAGGAGTATCCACAGGGCGATTCCGGGAAGTGACCAAGGATTTTCAGGAGCTGCATGCACAAGATCAGTGGCTAGGCCTTGCCTTTCCCATCGAGCCATGAAAATGAGAAAGTAGACATAGTTCATTGGCGGGAATAGAAGACCAAGTATGACAACAGCACCATTGGTCCTCGCAGGGACCATCTGGGCTATGACACCGAGGAGTAAACAAGCTATAACGACGGAAATTCCACTGAGCTGTGCTCTCTTGAAGAAGGATGCTCCAAAGATGGAAAAGGACGACAAAGCGAGCCCCTCCAGGATGTTATAGACTATAGTAATCCCGGCGGATGTTCTGCTGTAGATTCCGTATTTCAAGATGGCGCCCATGATAATCCACCCTATGCCATATACCATGTCCAGTGCCAGGTGTGCTGCGATAAACCGGGCTGCTTGTGATTGCCATCTGGACTCATTTGGCATCATACAGTCTATCAGCTGACTCATTCCCAGTTCACGTTCCATCGCAACTAAGCCAGTTAGCTGGTAGGTCACTCCCACGATGCCGATGAAAATGGCGATGGCCATGATGTTGATAACTGCACCCATATAATTGACCCGGATTTCGTCCCGACGTTCCTCCTGAGTCAATGATGTAAAAGGGTACTCCATGATCTATAGGTCTGTCAGTCAAGCCTAAGGTAGTGAGTGGGTGTGGGCGATCCACTCATAGAATGTAATCACCTCGTTAGGTAGCGCATTTTGATCAGTAGATGTATTGGCCTGAGCTATGGCTCGGTCAATAGAGTGTTGAAAGGGAAGAAGATAGATCTCCTGGTCATTTTTATGATTATCAACATGGATACCGGCTCCTAGGGCCGCATCTGTTCTGATGGAGTAATTCCATATCCCATATGGGCCTTCCGTTGGAGAAGAATAAAACACCGCAGCTGCTATACAAGTGGATACTCCACTGAGGGACGTTCGACATAATTCCTGCAGCTCATTTTCAGACGACAATAAGCGCGGGTATACTTGATCTTGGTTGGGTTGTATAGAATTTGTGACTGAGTCTATCACTTTCTCGATAGGGCCGCCAAGGAGGCCATTATGAACGAACACCAGCTTATCTCGTCCACCAGTTATAGCATGCAGACTGTCTGACAAAGGCTGTAAGGGGGTTGGGTCACCAATTCCATAAGTAGCTGGCTCAATAAACAGGTTTCGCGCATACGATCTAGACCCCTATTAGACCTACCACTTTTGCCTTTTCATGGAGATGGAATAACTCACATGAACGCGGTAAAAATTACCGGCAAAACGAGAGCCCTGAGAACGGTTGTAAAAACCGGGCGAACGAGGACGAGCAGGAGATTTTTCAGAGTTAACGTCCAAATCTGCCTAAAGAAGAGCTTCAAGTTCGCCATTGTCGCCTGAGAGGAGACAAAACCGAACACTCGACAGTTCGTCCCGAGGCTCGAGAGGCTCCTAAGGGGGGAGGGGGAAACAAGGGGTAATATAACAACGGCTAGTTTGACACAGCTTTAGGTCGACATATTTGATATCATTCTGATCGCGCTTATCCACCCAAGCATTGGCAACATATCCTTTCTGTTAAACGAGGCGCCAAGCCGGGTGATATCCCATATCCCCATCACTTCTCTTGACTCGCTAAGTGCAACCAAGACGATAATTCCCGACTGGGGTTGGCGCCCAGAGACCATCGCTCAAACGCCCCGCTTCCTTCGGGGCTGTGGCCGAATCAGTATTGATTGGCGCATCGCATGAGGAGATTTCGATGCTATGTCATTTGAGCCTATGGTTAAAATGCACGGTCTGTTTGATGTGATGTGGGCTGTATGGAATCTCTTTAAACAAGGTGGATAAATTATCAGTTCTTGCTCGCATGGCTTCTACAAGCCGTTGAAGCTGGTTGACTGTTGATTGATACGAAACAGAAGCATATAGTATATTTATTTATGTGTTATGAACTGTAAATATCAAATCATGATAATCATGATAGAGGTACTACTCAAGGTAGGCCATGGGTCAACATCAGTCGACATACCAACATTGACCCTGCAGTATACCTCTCATACGATTGCCCAAATGCAGTCAACTTATGTATTGCCTTAGCTACCTTTAAGGTTAAACTTCTTCAGACATGACAGGAGGGTGATCAATTAGTAGTTACTAGATGGATAGATGGTGGTGTTAAGTAGATTTCAACTTCTCATGTGATTGGCAAACCATTGTTTCCTGACACTGGAACGATGACGAGTCTATTTCAGGTGAGATTCGTGGCTCCGACATGCATACTATATGCAAGGATGCTGACTATTGATTGACACGTTATCCCACCTAGATGTAACCTCGAAGCGGGATACGAGCTTGCGTCTCTAGAATTAATAACAGATTATATCGCCCGGCTTTGAGCTTGTTTTCGCTTCTGTCATCTTCACTTCAAGGCTTGTCTTCAACACTGAGAATACTACCTTCACCACTACAAAATGTCTTCTAAGGTCAAGGTTGCTGCGGTTCAAGCCGAACCGGTGTGGAATGACCTACAGGGCGGGGTTTCCAAGGTCATCTCCCTGATCAAGGACGCCGCCAACAATGGCGCAAACGTGGTCGGTTTTCCTGAGGTATTCATCCCAGGGTATCCATGGTGAGCAACAGAACAAGCTTCCACAGAACTCTCTATTAATCAGCTACGGACAAGGAGCATTTGGGCCAACTCGGCCATTGAGAATGTGTCCTTCATGAATGAATACTTCGAAAACTCCCTGGAGAGGGAATCAGAGGAGATGGAGCGCATCAAGGTTGCTGTCCGTGAAGCGGGTGTGTTTATAGTTCTGGGATACAGTGAACGATATCGAGGGTCGTTGTACATTGCCCAGGTATTCTTACCACAGATCGCTCCCCATGCTCATGCTTTCTAACAATAGACCCTCTAGTCATTTATTGACCCTACCGGTACTATTGTCCACCACCGACGTAAAGTCAAGCCGACTCATGTCGAGAGAAGTTACTGGGGAGAAGGGCAAGCAGACTCCCTCAAAACGGTGGCACCCAGTGCTTTTGGAAATATTGGGGGGCTCAATTGTTGGGAGCATACCCAACCGCTTCTGCGGTATTACGAGTATTCTCAAAACGTTGACATCCATGTCGCAAGCTGGCCTTGCATGTGGAACGTTCCATCTTGGACATACCATACTTCTGACGAAGCAAGTAGCCGATTCAGTCAGGTTCTGGCCATGGAGGGTGCTTGCTTTGTTCTTGTTTGCACTCAAATACAGACGCCGGAAGGGAAGATCAAGTCCAAGTTGCCGGACTTGGACTGGATGAAGCTTCCCGGAGGAGGTCTTACGGTGATATTTGGCCCTGATGGAGCTCCATTGACGGAACCATTGGATCCGGGAGTGGAGGCGATCGTGTATGCAGATATCGATCTGAAAGATCGGATCAAGGCGAAGCAGAACCTCGACATTCTTGGACATTACTCTCGTCCTGATCTTTTAAGTCTGCGGGTCACGACTGAAGCTGCAGCTCCTATTCACTTCAACTAGTATCTAACTGCTAAAATATCAAATTGATCCTATATTTATAAAGAAAGTACTAGCGTCAATGTCACGACAGATTGTAGAAGCTGGTACTAACTATGCAATGGCTCATGCATACTGTTCTATTTGAGAAATATCTTTTAGAAGCAATACTACATACTAGTAAGTGGCACCCTCGAAGACTGGGGCTAGCGAAAGGCCTTTCATGGTTATACTACTTGCCTGCCTAGTCGTGTATATCGGACTGTTCGCATACATTAGATTGCTTGAACTGCCAGCTGATTAAGGATAGTATATCATTGCTCAGACTATTGTTCAGATAATGTATAAAGCCTATTACCCAAGGAGGCATCACTTGCATATACTTGAGCTACTCAGACCTCATTATAACCCACTAACCTTCTCGGCCCAGAATATGTTGGATGACATGTCAGGCTTGAAGACCGGGGCACGGAGTCGCGAAAGTGTACGCCAGATGAAAGCTGAGAAAGCGTCATAGGCTGAGATCCACGAGCCATCGCTGGGCGTTGCCAGCTGCTTCAGTTCAGTTGCCTTGCTCTTCGGGAGATGGAAAAGAAGTGATACAGCTGCTGTATGATCTGGATGACGCTCCGGCGAAGCTGGCCCATCTACTTTTGATTCTTCAGGCACTTTTTGCTTGGTGATGCGCGAGCGATCTAGGCATGCTAAGTCCCAAGTGGGGAATGGTGTCTGGTTGAGAATGGCAGGCCAGCCCAACCCATGACGTCGTTGGCGTAGTGGTGGTACAAAGTTGGCCTTATAAGCCGCCACTACCGGGCTGCCATCAGGATGGGCTTCTGGCTTCTCACCATAAGTCATGGAGAAACACTCCAGAGGTCGAGGTCGCCCAGCGTGGTGGTGCTGAAGTGGGACTTTTGTATCTCCTCACAGGACAGGTAGTTTTCTCCGGGAGAGTCCAGCCATTGGACGAAGAATCGGGCCGTACTATTCTTTCTCTTCATGAACGGATGGCCTCCCGTGGGATCCTTCTCAATGGTCCCGCAAAGGTGTCGTGCTTGATTAAGAGTACGCTTGAGGCCTGCCTTTAGCAAATTGACCGCCTTGGGTTTATCGGCATCATCTATGAAGAACAAAGCATAGTTGTTATACGTGCAGGCTGTCAAGTAGTCGAAGGTGGAAACTTTGAATCTTTCCACATCTGGATCATCCTCCCATCCAAACGGATGTAAGTGAAAGATCTCCTGCCTTGTCAGAGATGTAAGCGTGTAGCCTAAAGACGGTGGGAAAGAAGAAGCAGTAAGTTATTTCAGTACGGGGGTCGGAATTGAAAGGTGTAAGCAGGGAGTATAAGTAAGGTACAAGGCCGCCACCGTCATATGATATGGGTTAGCAAGCATCCTGCTGGCACCGAGGCCTGAGAGCAGGTTAACGTAAGGTCTGACATCGTGGTACAGTATGAATCAATAGTCGGACCATCCTACATATCAAGACAGACACGTCATATACGCACTGTCAATCGGCACTGCCACGAGTAGTCTTGGTGGGGTGCCTGAAGCATTGGTAGTCGGCTCTCCAGGGCCCGCAGCATCGACGACGATTATTACTCTCTAGATAGGCGAGGTAACAAGTCATCACAGGGATGGCGGTCCTTTTCTTCAACTGCAAGCGGGCACTGTGAAGGATACCTATCTAGGTATATGTGCTTTCTCCGTAGAAAGGAGCAGGAGCCTCGAAGGCTACCCCTAATTGCGGCAAGGCTCATTCTCTTTGATAAAACTTTTGACCTGTCAAAGAAATTGGGAGGATACTCTTAGGATCCGAACGGGACACTTCATAGCCAAGCCGACACGGCTGACTAGCGTATCTCTTTAGCATATAAAACTCTCCGCAGGGCTTTGTTGCATAGCGAGTGCCGAAACTTTACTCGGCATGTGAGGCTCCAGGGGAAAGTTAATGACACATAATATCCTCTGCGCATTGTCTGTTGGATAACTCTATACTTCAATAGGAACCATTAGGGGGCTACTTTTTGCAGTCTAAAAGGGGGCTGTCCCATCAAGATGGCTCTTCTTTGTAGGATATGCTATTAGGGGGAACTGCAGGTGCGGCAGCTTCACGCTGGTGGCGCCCAAATAATGCAGTTTACTCTACTATCATCTGCCACAAATCAAACCTAGGGCATATTCGAACAATCTCCAAATGTTCACCCCAGATGTAGAAGACAAAGGCAGCACGGTGCTCCTTGAAAGCTGTAGATAAAAGGCTACCCCTTTGTAAACAGAGCGGAGCTTGACATAGAATCAAAACTACGGAAGACAACTGTAGTTTGGAGGAGCATTATATGGGGCAGCTGTTGTAATTCTACTTGGAATCTGTTTGACATCTTCATAAGGTGCTTGCTTCAATCGCTATGGACCTGGACGAGCCTGCTTATCCGCCGCCAGATGGAATTACGCCAAACTTTGACAATCCAACGAATAGAAATGCATTTGCCTTGGGCATCCTCGTTGCATGCGTCACAGTCACCACGATTTGCTTTTTGATGCGTATTTATGCCAGGGTTTATCTGTTGAAAAAGATACGAATTGAAGAAAGTGAGCCCTTGCGTACCCTGATGCCCTCCGTACCTAGATGCTGACGTTACTTTCACCACAGTACTGGCCGTGCTTGCATATGTTCGTCCCCCCTATGACCAAAAGTAATAAAGCGAGAGTCTGATAATGCAATCTCTAGGGGTGCTACTGGGGACCTGGCTATACAGCGTTTGCCATGGTCAGGAAGCCTGGCTATTTCGTTCACCAATGGGATGTCCGCTGCCGCGATTTCATACTTACCAATTATGTAGGTGGCTTCAGCCCTGGGTTCCCCGGAGTTCAGCATCTGACTCGTACATAGTATGTCTTTGTCTTTGGCGTCTGTTACTCATTTATCCTTCCGCTCCTCAAGATAGCCATTCTTGTGGAGTGGTGTCGACTGCTAGCCCCTCAGGGCTTGAGATCTCGCACTGCCTTCTGGTGGGGATGCATGGTCACAATCTGTATCCAGGTCATCGCGGGCGTCGGCATAATACTAGCTTGAATCTCCAGTGCATCCCTCACAGAGCCATCTATGACCTCACCGTTCCGGGGAAATGCGTCGACCTGTACAAAATCCAACTCGCATCAGCCAGCGTCCATCTGACATGCGACGCGATCATGCTGCTGCTGCCACAGCCTGTTATTTGGACGTTGAAAATGACGTGGAGGAAGAGGCTGGGCGTTTCGTTCGTCTTTAGTCTCGGTGTGCTGTACGTTTCCCGGCCCTCACTATAACCCTGCATTTGCCTCCTCAAACTAAACATCAAGGACTCTGCAGGGCGTGTGCTTCCGCAGCACTTAGATTGGACACGACGGTGATCCACGCTAATGCAGACGATCCGCTGTACAGTCTGGCTCCCCTGGTTCTCTGTTCCATGGCTGAGATGACGTGCGGGTTTTTCATTTTCTGTTTGCCCTGCATTCCTAAGATTATCAAGGAGACCGGCGTCATCCGCAGAATCAAAAGTGCCTTGGGTGTGAAGACCACGCCCACCAAGCCTAGTGGATACTCGGAGAACTATGGAACTAGGGTGTCAGCTTATGGCAGCGCCTCCTACATGATGAGTAACAACAACAGAAGGGACAAGCAGAAAGGTACTGAATCAATGGAATACCTACACGAGGGTATTCTCGAGGCAGGGGGGATCATTCGGACAACACATATCTCCATCACGGAGGAATCTCGCACTGCCAGTGATGATGAGAGCAAAAAGGCGGCCTGTCCGTATATTTCCAGAACGGATGGTGTCGAGTGAATATGCACGTGGATTTGGAGGGGGAGAGCAATAGAAGTGTCGAACAAGATCGACCATATCCTTAGTTTAATATATCTTGTCCTCGAGGTTCTTGATACTGTGAGTGTATACTTTCTAGCTTCTGATGTAGCGATTTTATTTCCCGCCTCAAACTATTATTAGATACGTGTTAGGTGCTAGTACTATGTCTAAAAGACTAGAGTCTCCCTTGGCTTTCCTTATCCCCACAAAACCCGAACTGGCACCATACGACGGAACAGTACTAGTATATCAAAATATCATTTTGAAGTTAATCTGTCCACTTCAGCAGCTTTCGTGTCTTTTCAGCCTGAAGGGAAGCAGGAGCATAAGATGCACTAAAAGCCCAGCTTGTCACTGGGGATGGGGAATGAAAAGAGGGGGAAAAGAGGGGGGGGGGTTAATACTCTGGTGACCGTCTCTGGAGCCTGAGTGCCTCACGCTAACTCGTCCAGTCAGAAACCCCTTCACTGTATCATGTGAATTAACATTCTCAATACATTAACTAATTTATTGGCCAAGCTCTAGTCGTAGTACAATAAATCAGGCGCCCGAGTCCCATATCAACTTCTCATATCATCTTCAAACAGACACACTTTGTCTGTTCAAGTTCCCTCTAATACATACCTTGACTCCTCTAGTACGACCCATGCTAGGGTTAGTCCATTACAAATTATTTCTCCAGAAAACCCCCTCAGCGAGCACCACCTTATCCCAAAGACCGATCCGAATCAAACCACAATGGTCGGAGTCCACGTCGCCATAATCACCGACGAAGGCGTCTTCAAACACTGGGCTATCTTTATCGATGAACCTCATGCATCTGAAAAAATCATGCTTCAGGCCCGAGGCTCCGATGGTCGATTCCGCTATGAACCTGAATACGGAGATGCTCGGTGTCTGAGTGGGTTACACGAACTTGTCTTCCTCTTTGATGTGAAAGACACCGAGACTGGCAGGCTAAAGGCTGTCGCTAGTGAGCTTCCGGTCCGCAGTGATATTCATGGGTGGAATTGTCAGGATTGGGTATTGGATTTCCTGGATAGGTTGGAGGAAGAAGGTATCATAGATGGGAAAGATAGTGGGTATAAAGAGCGGAAATTGTATGTGCAGGGAAAGGTGGAGGGACTTGTGTAGCCGTGGAAATTGATCATTCTATCCCAGAAGGAACTACGGCTTCATGAGACTGAAATTTGAGTCAAACTATTGGGATACCTGTTATATCAGTTGCCGGAAACCTACGTTTGCTCCAACTTTCATCTCTCAGCTCGACTAGGACGCCATTTCAATTGACCCTGCATCCTGCCGAGCCTTTCGGTTTCTGTTAAAAATTTTATGACCAAAGAACAGAATTAAGTACAGTGGTATTCCCATGTATGATGTGATGATGGCCTTGTAATCAACTTTATTAGGATCACCATCAGAGTCCACCGTGTCAAACACCCTCATTACCGTCAAAAATGCACAGAAGGCTAGGGCAGCCCATGATCCAACAACCCCAAAAGGAGCCCTGAACACGAGCGGGCTCGTCTCAGTTTTTGTATTTTGAGACTTTGCGAACTTAACGTGTACCACAAGAATCGAGATCCAGGTGAGAATGCTGAACATGGTGACTAAGTTCACAAAGTGGTTGAAAAGACACTTTGAATCTTCCTGAATGTTCAGGTATGCCAGCGAGGCGATCGCCGAGCATACGAAGAGAGTATAGACCGGGGTCCCCCTACGGTCAAGGCGAGACAGGAAAGCAAAAGCGTTTCGTGAGAGGGATAAACCGTAAAGAGTCCGTGTTGCCATAAAGAGGGAATGGTTTGCTGCGGATAATATGAATAAAAGGAAACACGCATTCAAAATATGCGGTACCACAGCTATGTGGGCTATCTGAACCGCCACTACGAAAGCAGCTGCTGATGAGGCGCCAGGCTGCTTGTCTCCTATAAAAGCAGCTCTCGTATACAGTCTCGAGCTTGATTTCACCCTAGCGAATTCCAACTCCTTGGCGTCGAACGGAACCAACATACCGATGAAGGTCACGGTAACGATGTTGATAACCAGTATCCGGTAGAACGTTAGCTTGGTTGCATGCAGCGCAGCCTTGCGCGTATTTTTCGTACGTAGAATACTGATACCGATCAATTCACTTCCAAGATATGCAAAGGTAGCCGAAGGCATCGTCCAGCATATGGCGCGAAGTCTCCCAATAGCCGTATGATCCCCAGCAAAGGCACCCGGTCTTTTCCAATATCGAAATCCTCTCCTATCGTGATCAGGGCCACCTCCTAGCGCTAAAATCAGGGAAAAGACCATAAGTCCGACCACCACCGTGATTTTAAAAGAAGACAGAATGAACTCATATTGGCCCATAAATCGACTACCCCAGTAGTTCACACCAAGTATGACCACCATGAACACGGTTATCCATATGCCTGGATTGACGATATCAACATCCAACCAATATGACACTACCAGTGCTGCCGCGGTTAATTGGTTCGGTGTGACCACCAAAAACTTCAGCCAGTATCTGTGTTCCGGGTTTAGCGGAGCTATAGGAGAGATATCGATTCGCTCACATCCACTCTATTGTGAAACCAAGAGATGGGTCACATAGCCTCGCAGCATGATCGGCAACCGTCGACGGCTCTGGAGAAGCCACCTCTGCCAGAGCGCATAAGACGTGATAAACCAAGATACCCACAGTCGTATATGAGATGAGAACTGATGCAGGCTATCAGGTTTATGGATTAACATAATGATTTACCCGCAGAGGAAACAGCACGTTGGGGTACTCACTCCTGCCCTAAGGAGCTGTCAACACAACCTATCACGCTATGTCAACAATACTGTACCTTGCAAGCGCATTCCCGGATGCTATCATCAAACCAGTATTGATTGCGCCTCCGATTGCTTCGGCAATACGTCAATTCTTATCGAATCATTGGTTGCTGCAATCTGTAGACGAACCTATCAGAGTAACCTGGTTTGGCTTTACGGCTCCATAGGAATTGAAGAGGCTTTGACTCTCACTGCGACTAGGCGAGCAGCTCTGAACTTCGCTGTCATTGTTGGGAGTTGATAATAAGCTGAAGGATGCAGTAGTGTGCCGCTCTGATGACATTTCTCATTTAGTAATGAGTCGTGTCGACAGGGAACGGAAGAACTCGGATTATCAAGATATCAATGAGTGTTCGATGTAAGAATAGCCTCAGGTTGAACATCTACACGGCTGTTATTTAATGAAGACGTTCAAGGACTATGGTATTCGCACGTGGAAGACTGAAAGCAATCGACCAAGTGCCTTCCCGATGTAGTAAACTGAGAGCTCATGATAGTAACTTCCATTCTACGATCTCAACTTGAAAATATCTATAACAGACAAAAAGGAATCACACGCAGTAGCCATTAAGACGGGGTAAACAGCAAGGGGTTTTCTCATGCGCGTATCGCGCTCATCGGAATGAGAAGCTTCTGTATTAGCGTCAATCTGCACCACCTGGCTGAAGTAATAAACTCTTTAATAATAACTAGTTACCACAAAAGGGGCTAACTAAACTGCAACCATTATATTGACAAATGAAGCTTGGATCGTCCCGAAGCTAAACCCCACTTGTTTGAGGGGTATAAATGACCTCTATGTAGTAGGTGTTTCAGCTGGGGGTGGTGGTATGCGATAAATGTACCTGGACTTGAAGATTGCCCCACAGCATATTGTACTCAGTAGGTGATGTTGTTAAGTTAATAGTGATCAATGCAGATCATTAGGAGATCGCTACACAGTAGAATGAATCTCACCTATGGAGAAGTATCAGGAATGGTAGATAGAGTCGATGACGATGTTTTGTTTACGATGTCAGGCGTCGGCTGCGGGGAGAGAAAATCTTTTCATGGGGTATTGCGGAGAGCGGGGAAAATCTCTGTGTGTCGACATCATCCTGCTTGCCCTTCGAGTGAGGTCGTGACGAATGGATGCTTCTGAAAATTAAGACTCTTTCCTCGGATCTTGGTTCTGGCTTATTGAAAGTAAAATTTGGGTTAAGGTTCAATCCTCCTTACAAGGAAGAGAGACACGTTTTGAGATAACACCATGTTGTTTTTCATGGTACGCCGCACCACAGATCCAGCATCAGTCCTGTTTGGTCTCAGTCATTTCCCCTGTATTGAAGATTGTTAGCTATTAGGGTGCTAGAGTCAACTACCAGGTAAGTATTGTTCACTACACAGTAGTAACTTGGTACGTAGGAGCTCGGAGATCGTTGGTAGGTATGTAGGAATATCAAAAAGGAATCTCTCTCCTCGGCGACCAGAAAAGAATTACCCGCGGCTGTGATAAATTATGCCTTTCGGATCACACCGACATTCTCACCATACTTCAAACCTGTCATAGCATCATCAATTTATTACATGACATTAGTAGGAGTGTGTGCATAGCCAGGCGTATCATTGGCGGAAGGAAGAGGAAACTGGAGCCTGCAGATCGGGGACTAGAATCCGAAGGGGAAAAGACCAAATCAATTTCTATTTCTCACATGCCTCACTATTCATCCTGAGCCATGCTTAATTGCGGCTAGCCGAACGCGGTTTGTTTTCTAGCGGTTAATCCACCCGGTCGTCTCTCGGTCGGGGCCATTGGCCAGCTTGTTCATTGCCACGATTCTTCCATCTTCTGTTCGGTGCACCTGCCCTCTCCCGGAGGAATCTCGTCCGGTGCCTCGACTCCGGAGGAAATTTGATCCAACACAAAAGATGAGTAGTTTCAGATTTTTTACCAGGGGCCTTGAGGCTGGGCTGCCAATTGTGATCACGAGGACCAAATCAACGCAGTAAAAGAAAGTGAGGTTAAAGCCAGGTTTACAACAGACTACTACTGTTAGTACGTAGTAGGGAGTAGTTTTAGATCCGCCTTGGAAAACAACAACGTCTGAGTGGCTGGAACCCACCGTCAGGAACGCTTATCCATGTCCCGAACCCTCGGATTCGTACAGAGAGCCGCAGACTTAGTTTTACTAACGGTGCATGCTCTGTTATTTGCCCTAATGAGTTATTATCATGTTCTCCATTGGCATTGAAGCCTAACCAGTAACGTTCACCCCTGCAGTTCAACATCTGTTTGCTTTTTTCATGTTTCTACAAATGGTTCATGAGCCGCTTATGCACCGCTGGATGCTGTCGCACACGCATGAGATCTCTAAGGTGAAACTCAAAGCTCCAGAATATTAGTTAGAGCTCAACGATTGCGGGGGGGAAACCCATAGATGGCAGTAGGGTGACCAGCCGATCAAAGGAAAAAGCAATCGGATTGAACAAGAACTGCATTGTCATGCGTCAATCAGAAGTACGCTCGGGGCTCCGTTGCTAAGTGGGTAACGGGCCTCCTCGCGTTGCATTGGTAGTGTACTGGATCAATTTCCAGTAGCCGCCGACCATAATAATTTTGGTTAAAAGTCACAGGCTCCAAGGGGACAAATATATGCAACCGTGGGACAGCTACTCCATCTGCAACGAGGGACTGACCAATGACAGCCGGGCCCCAACCCAGCAATGACCCATGTCGTCATACAGCCAGGGTTACAAACACCTTCTGCTCACAAGGCCGCCACGCAGATCCGAAGATCTCTGACGTGGGGGTTTGATCATTGGACAAAGAAGACCTGATAATATGAATTGTGAGGTGCAGAAAAGGCCCTATTCTGGAAATACCGGGGGAATTGGGGCCTCTCTCCCCGCATTGGAGCGCATCTAGCGATGTGGAAACAGGAGACGGAATGCGTGGATTTTAGTTAAGGGGGGATTCGATGGTCAGATTGAATTTAGGAGGTCAGCTCGCAATCCGTCGCTAGGTCGCGACTACCGGCCATGAACGAGAGGTAGGTATCATAATGATGGTGGAACTGAAACCATCATAGAATGTTGGAACAGATATCGTCACTTGTCCAGTCTTTAGGCCGGGAAGCCGTGGGCAAAAATGACGTAACTGTATTGGGGTTGGGATTCCCGAGCCACCGGCCCGTAGTGAGGGAAAACCCAAAACTTCAGCGATCCGACCTTCCGATGCTCCTGACGAAGGTTAGAGGGGAAAAGATTAAAAAAAAGGTACTTGGCATATATAAGGAGAAAAGTCACCAGATTCTCACACGGAGATCTCGCCATATTTATCTCACGGTAGCATCCCTCAGTACGGTACGACGAGAACGTCAAATCACGCAGAATATCCACCCCCTCCTTTCCCAGACAACTCACGCACCAAAAGTGCCTCTCATTTTGGGGAGCTTAACATCCACTGTCGACCCACCCGCGGCCAATCTGGATAAGGCAGTGTGGGTAGCGTGTGGGACGCTGGCCCTTATAACGTCGACTGACCCTTCAATCCTGCGTTGGAAGAGAAGGCAATCTTGAAACAGAAATAAAAGAGAGCAGGCGGACGGAAAAATCCTTGCTTATTCTCACACCCCCGTTTGATTTCTCTCTCTTCCCACATCATTCAATTCACCCTAATCTTATCATCGCACAACCAACACTTTCTCTTGTAACTGATCTCGCCTCCCGTTGGAAAAACCATGTCGAAAACAAAGGTTTTGCTCGTCGGAGCAGCAGGTGAAACTGGTGGTTCGATTGCAAATGGACTGTTGGAAAATCCCATTTTTGTAAGAATCCCGTCCCCCGTTTTGTCCAATTTCGACCCTTTGTTCTAACCTCACTTTCACGTGACTGCAGGAACTGTACGCTCTCGTCCGCCCTCGGTCGGTACAGAAGCCCGCCATCGTTTCTCTCCAAGACCGCGGCATGCAAATCCGCAGATGTGATCTAAAAGGCCCTGAAGAATCTCTTACCGAGGCGCTCGAGGGAATCGATGTCGTCATTAGCTGTGTTGGTCCTGCCGAGCAGCAGGATCAAATTCCTCTCGCCAAAGCTGCGAAGAGGGCTGGAGTTAAGCGCTTTGTTCCATGTGGCTTCATCACAGTGGCACCCCCCGGTGGTATCATGTGGCTGAGGGATGAAGTAAGTGCCCATGAAAGCGAAGGAGGAGTTTGCCCTCAGGCACTGACATCAGTTCCCTCCCCTCCCCTTTAGAAAGAAACAGTTTACAACCATGTTAAACAACTGCGCCTCCCCTACACCATCATCGATGTCGGCTGGTGGTACCAACTTTCGTATCCCCGCCTGGAGTCCGGACGAGCCGACTATGCCATGACTTCCGCAAACAATGAAATCGTCGGCGATGGCAACACCCCTATGGGTTTGACCGATTTGAGAGACATTGGACGCTATGTTGCTAGAATCATCGACGACGAGCGGACGTTGAACAAGATGGTCTATGCATACAACACGGTTAAGACACAGAATGAGATCTACGACCTACTGGAAGAGATCAGCGAAGAGAAAATCCAAAGGAATTACGTGAGTAGCTTGGACGTTGTTGTGCATCGCGACATTTGCTGATCTATGACTATAGATTCCGGAGGAAAGCGTCTACACTCGGGTCCTCGCCGCCCGACAGTCTAGCGAGACCTATCCCTTCGATCCCGTCAAGTTCATCCCCCGCTATTTGGCTGAGTATCAGTTGTCTTGGGGTATTCGGGGAGACAACACCCCGGAAAACGCAAAATATCTCGGATATCTGATTGCCAAGGACCTCTATCCAGACTTCAGGCCAGTCGACTTCAGGGACTATCTTGAGACCGTCGTTCGGGGCACAGCGAAAGGTGTATACACCGACCGTATGGTTTCGAAGGTTCACCAGCGGGCATTCCCACGCACAGAGTCGACCGATTCGTTGTACACTCGGATATTCCCAAGAACCGAGTCCAGCGACTCGCTATACATGCGGTAGACGCCTGTATGATCAGTTTGGATGTTTATTTTCCTCACTTTTTGCGATCTGGGTTTAGACTGGCGTTTATGTTTGTTTACGTTAGGGGAAAGCAGACGATAGGACAGGCTATTAGATCACCACTCCGCCTTGTATACGGATTCATGAGAATGGTACAACAGATGGTATATTTCTCTCTTCTCCGTCATAGGTTTCATTTGCAGATTTTATACCCACGCAAATCTCATTGCACGTTTTGTTCCGATCCATTTCATTAGTCAACCAATCTAAAAAAGTTTTATTGACCTGCTTGTACCTAACTACGGAATGCTAAGATGTGTCGACACTTCACCGGTAAGACTGAATCTCGGTCCGAACGTGAAAGCCCTCACTCTCATACATAGGAGAAAGATAAAAATGAACAAAAAGCATAGAATTATGAACTAAACGCACTAGCACGGCGCCTCTTCTTATAATAGCCCAGCTTTCCTACGCCTATTGCCACCCTCTGCATGCTAGTCAATCCCTTCGTGTATGCTTACCGCACCTAGATGACCCTTCTAGGCTGTCAATTGAGTTTCCTATCCTCTCTCGGCTGGCTTGGGAGCTCTGACCTTGCATTTTAATCAACGCGAGGCATGTTCTAATCACATCAATCTTTATAAACATTTTACAGAACTTAGAACGTCGCCGGTGCCATGAGCGCGGCTTCGCAAGTAACATCTGCTGTGTTGAGCTTGAGCCCATTCACTCAGCATTCTTGGACATATTTACCTGGGATCAATGAGGAACAACTTTATACCCAATATATCCAGCAGGTGTCAGAGACACAGAATTCTCAACATTTTCGTTCGGGATCTTGAAGATCCATCCATTACAGATGTCGTCTTCTACAGGGCCAGCGCGGCCTAGGATTGTCTGCTCGGTGATGTACCCTGTGCCTAGAGGGTTGACATTCTCATCCCAGGGCATGGGTACACTTTCGGTCAATGCAAAGCTGTTGCGATGTCCTCCAACGGCAGGATCGATGCGCAGATTGAATAAGTGTTGATGATACGGAGATTACGCCATCAGCCACTCGTGGCCCTCATGGGACCGTTGCGTCTTTGTTGATCGGCCGCATTCAGAGGATGCCAGTGGCCCGAGTCTCGAATGTCAACTCACTAGATTGATCGAAATGTGATGATACTCTGCAGGACAAGTTGCCGCTTGCGAACTACCACAGGTGATTGGTATGTTTCCACTGTATACCGTTGTCGATCTCTTGGATGCAGATAACGTTGGACCTTGGTGCTGGGCTTCCGTCTTGGGCAACGACACAGCCATCGAGATATTTTACCATACTAAGGCAATCGCAACCCACTGTTTCAGTGGTAGTGTATGCTGTGAGTAAAGCTTTCTGCAGATTCGATAAGGCATACCTTGCAAATTGTTTGCCGTCATTCCAACAACGACATTTCCTAAGTCGAATGCGCCTTTACGATATATAGGGTTCCGCGGATCCCCGTAAGGAGCAAACATTTTGGAAAGAGACAGCCTGTAAAAAGCACTCTTGCCATCGAAGGATACATCATGCAAGGTCATCCCTGGTCGGCCGGTTTGACACCTCTGATCATAATCAACACCCGTGCAATCGCTCACCTTCTCGCCAGTTAAATCCCACACGGAATCGCCATTTCTCCCATTCGATCAGGTGGCCCTTGACTGTGAAGGAAGCCCCCTCTGGCCGAATAACTTGGTAGGGCTTCACGTTGTCCTGGGGGGCTTTTGCAAGCCATGGCCATGCTCGGCTTCATAGGGATCGGCTCGGCGATGAGGTATAGGTGAACCGACTGGTGTGGTAGCTTTGTCACACCCCAAAGGCAAGCGAGCTGATGTTTTCGACTTTCATCTCAAAAAATCGACAGTAACCATAAAAATCCAACGGGAAACAATAGTGGTTCGAGTCAGGGCCATGGTTCTTGGGATTGCGCATATACATAAGCAGCTTGTACAGAAGGCTAGTAGCAGTACATTGTGACCAATTTACATTATGCAGTTCTAGCTGGGTGCGTCTTTTCTGAGTTTCCTCGCTATCTACACCATATACCATGGATCGAGGACCACTGCGGCATCATCGATTTTCAAGCCTTTGATCTCTTCCTCACCCGAGGTTCGGCCATGACTACCTGGGCTGCTTCATTCATTTCTGCACGCTCCACCGGTCCATGGAAGTCCCGAGCAATTCACCATGGTGAATAAACTGGTTATTAGTAACATATACTATCGCCTCAAAAAGCCGAGTGCGTCTGATGTACCAGATGAGAGATATGCATCGTGAAATAGCTGGGAACGGGCGACTTCCACATCGAGAAAAGGCGCCAGAATGCATATTGGAGGCTCCTCTAAGCCAGCTGCTTTGAAGTGAAGCTGTGTAGGTACCTTCATAGGCTTTCTTAACTAGGTCAGCCGCCCGCTGAATCTCTCACGGAGTAGCTGAGTCAAGAGGGTGCAAATACATTATGACGGACATTGATAACAGTAAAGACGACAGTTACGAAGCTGGAACCATCGTTGGATGGCTTTTTTTTTTTTTTTTGTTACGCTTCTATCATAAATCGCGTATACAAGCCGAGCCAGGATATGAGATATCCGCCAAATTACATCTTCGGGCCCGATTAGGATCCGGTTTGCCCAGCCCATAACTTGTGTCGTCAATGCAACTAAAGGACAATAATGATTAAGTGTGCCAATGACGGGGTGTACCCTGAGTCATGTCACCTAGGGCTATACGAAGGACATAAATTGCTCGCGGGGTAAATGGACTAAATATGCGGGCCGAGTCAACCCTTATATCCAACATGTTTGCCACCGCGCTACCTTTTCTCTCGGAAACAGAATGAATCCCCTCTGTATTCATTCAGGCAGCTTCTGAAGTGCATACAGATGTCGTCACGCCGACCATGGAGCAAAGCAGAAGACGAGATGTTAATAACGCTTATCCAACGTTTTGGTGACCGACGAGGACGGGACGGGAAATGGAATGAGATATCCAAACGTCTCTCTGGAAGGACCAACAAAGTAACTCTCTCCCTTCTCCAATATTTCCACTTACAGTTTACCATGGAATGATTGGAAGTATAAATCACAGTACTGACAGAAGGCGTCTCTAGGATTGTCGCAAGCGCTGGTTTCATTCCTTAGATCCATCCCTCCGCAAAGGACGATGGACAAAGGAAGAAGACGAGACTTTACTGGCCACATATGGAAGATTGGGACCTGCCTGGAAGGAAATTGGTAACAGAGGCTCCTTATCCTGTTGGGCCAGCTTTATTGCTGACTATAAATTACCTTAGCACGACTCATTCCAGGCCGAAAGGATGACCAGTGTGCAAAGAGATACAACGACATTCTTGATCCGAAAGTTGAAAATCGCCTACGGCCCTGGACTCTCGAAGAAGATCAATATCTGACTGCCAAGGTGTCTCAGCTTGGACACCAATGGTCCACCATCGCGGCCGGGCTATCTGGCCGTCCGCCTCTCACTTGCCGAAATCGATGGCGTAGACTGGAGAAAGACATTCCCAAAGCAGGCGATTCATCCTTATCTCCAGATGACTCGTCAAGTAGCGTGCCAATACTTCGGTGGTTAGACCCTGCACATCCGTCCTCTACGTCTCTGGATGGGGCTCTCTCGTCCGTCCTACAATATATTCAATCAGTGCCAGACTATCCAGGCTTGACACCCGACACTCCAGCCGTAGGACAGCGGAATGGTTTTGTAGAGGACCAGTCAATGACGGCATTGACTACATTGGACAGCCAAACGACGACATGGGTTGATGTATTCGACGAGTTACAACAGCAAGCACCATTAGCTTCGAATTACAACGCCGAAGCTTACTGTAATGGTGGGAAGGATTTAAGTGTCTCATCCTTAGCGTCAAATAGCCTTTCCGAGCCATCACCTCGAAACGTGGAGTTTACTCGGCAGCATCAGACCTCGTCTGGAAGTATGAGCAATCCATATTCGTTGAAGAACGCACGACAAACTAGGAACTCTGGTGCTTCGGCCTTGGTACCAGATGCAGAAAGCATACAGGCAAACATGCTAGAGCAAATGGCCATGCAATCTATTTCGTTAAGAAACCACCATCTCGAAAACATATCTGTGACAGGCACTATTCATTACCACCATCACTTCCACCATCATCACCATTACCACCATCACTCTCAAATTCAGTGGCCAAATCAAAGACCAACCTTCACACTTTTTGAAAGAGAATCTGGCTATAGTGGTACAGGGCTTACATATTTTATGTGATACTGAATCATATTTGATAAATCTAGCCCGTCAGTCTTCACCTGTGTCTCTGCATATGCCATCTACATAGACAGCTCGCTAGGAAGGCATATATCATCTCAACCACCAGGAGTATACTAGATAAAGAAACTAATACTTTGGCATTCCCTAACAGACCAAGGGATGACGTTCTCTATGTTAAGAAATCGTTTGATTCGGCGGCCGAATTCATGATCCTTGAATAGAGAAAACTCAAGTTCGGTCGTACGAGACCAGAGGCATAAGACATCGATTGCTGATAAAGCAATTTAGTAGCCAGACCGAGTTCGTATATGTTACCTGTCTGTTCAGATTAGTCCTAGGAGGTACCGTTTGGCTAGAAGGCAGATGATATAAGGGACGTAACCCTAAAACAGAAAAAGAGAGGGGGAAAAAATCAACCTTCTGAAGTGAAAGGGTACAGAGCCAGGCATAATGAATTGGATATTAATTGACTATTTCGCAAGCAACTTCGCTTCTCTAGATGTCTCCATTTCATGTCCTACTACCTATGTATCTACTACTCAGGAGCAGTCAGTCTTTGTCTGAAATTCAACGCCCGGCTTGTCTTGGCAGTGGGGCAGGGTAGATGTTCACAGGGCAACACACGAATGCAATAAAAACAGACTAGGGAAACTGTCAGTTGGGTGATATACTTAGTAGTCTGGTGCTAAGACTTTGCGGGTACAAAGGCGCCACCAGCCTCAATGTGATTCGTTGAAGCGTGGAGTTGCGAGCACTGTCTGAGGTAGAGTACTTTTTTCTTTCCCCCCTCCCTGTCTGCCCTGCACTACGTCTCTGGCGAGGCTGGATTTTCTGTCTTCCTTCGTACACTCCATTGCGGGGTACTGATCACTGCTCCTGACGTTAGAGGCCATGAAAAAGACATAGGCTTCGTGATTTCTCTGGTGATAACTTTGAATGTCTCTATTGTGTGTTTGTCTACATGTGCGTGAAGCATTCGTCCCCACAAATCAACAGGCCCAGCCTACCTTAATCGAAGCATGGAAATATGGTTTTACATCTGACACGCCGTCATAGCTTAAACAGAAGGTAGACAAACCTTCCAAAATTACTCGCCAGAGGGGCCCACTTTGGAGGATATGGCGTCTTTTCGCACCCCTAAGAGAGGAAAGGATTTGTACCAATTGATCGACAAACTTAACGAACAGTTTGGCTTAGATATCCCTAACCCAAAGTTCCACTCCCCGGATCTCGAGCCTAATACAAAGTCGCTCAGATGGCGCGTGCATAAGGGCATCAAAAGGCTTCATTACGACCGGAATGCCAACTTGAATGAGACTCTCAACAACTTCGAGGAGTGGGTGGCATCTCGACCAGCGCAGGCCAATGGTGACTTTCCTTCAAATAATCGCTCAAGGAGGGATCCGTTTACCAATAAATGCTATGCCATCGGTTCTGAGGCAGAGAGAAACGAGCGTCTCCTATACTTAGCGAAACAGATCTGGGATGAATTGTATATCATGACCAAGGGTTCCTGTTCTCCTTTCCTGGAAGGACTTAATGGGAGCACTGGAAAAGCCACGGAGCAAACAAGCCCATCGAAAGGGCTGAAGAGAAGGATGTCCGAGGAGGAGGCCGAGTTCCGCACTGCCCCAAATTCACCGGTAAAGAATCCTGAGTCCGGGCTTACTGTGGTGGACCCTCTTAGTTTGGTCAATGATGAAGAGGGGTGCGGTTTTGATCCAGGCCCAGCTCAGGTTTTCAAAAGCCCCAAAGTAGATGATGCGAGGGGACCGTCGGCATTTGTCCAAAGATTAACGGCACCTGACCAGTTTCGACGATACGATGCAGTGTCACCTGCACAGGACGACCCAAACGTTAGTTTCGCAACTACTGAGCCGACCTCTATTTTTGATTCTTGCGATGACCGACGGAATACCTCATTCATATCGACCATCACGGATGCTACTGAGCCCATATATGACTCGGACTACGAAGATTCGATGGTAAATCATATGCTCAGCCAGGAGCTGAAATTGGCACTTGAAAGGTCGCAGCCCATGGGTGAGAATGTTGTTGATGAGCCTCCCGAATCTGTTGAGCAGCGACTGATGGATGACCTCCTTCACTACGGACCATTTGCACAAGCCTATTCCTTTCCGGGCTCAGTACCCTTACGATGCCGGTACGAGTTAGAGAGGATAGGCAGAGCTTGGAATATCCCCTCTGACCGCATGCTGGCTGGTAACAGCATACCATTCCAAACACGCGATGGCTTTTGGGAATGGATCAAGGGCCACAACCAACGCAATGGAAAGCCACTCCCAGAAAAGCCAACCAACAAAGCTTGGGACTCCGCTATTGGCAACTTCAAGACAGATAAGCATTCAGAAGTTGTTGTCCTTACGGGCGATCTAGAATGGTGCAGCGAACATGAACCGGGCATTTTCAAATTAAACTTGAATCCACTGAAGACCGAAAGAACATGTCGATTCCATCGCCGTTTTGGATCCGACAGATTCCTTAGCTTGACAATGCCTGCACCGTCGCGCCCCCCGCGCCATTTCCCATTACCATCTAATCCTTCTCTTCTACGAGAAAGTATTGCCCTATGGCTGACACAGAATGTCCACCGGTGTCTAGGGAGGACATGGAAGCCTTTCTTTGTGGAAGAGGTCAAGTCGAAACGTAAAGTAAAGGCAGAACCGAAGTTCAGGGTGGACTTCTTTGCAATTGATGGCGTGGACTTTGACAAGGGCCCGCACGTACCTCCCATACCTCTTGCAAAGCAAAACAGTGAAAACCACACGCCCATGAGCTTGGATTCCCTGTTCGACTGGCATATATCGCGAGACGAGAATATAAAGCAGAACAACTGCAAACTATTCCAACGTATCTCATTGGGACTTTCGAAGACCTTCGCCACTGTTGTCTTGAAGCCATCGCAGGTCCTTCATCTAGCAGACCCCTCTAACTCACCGGTAATGAATGATGGCTGCGCTTTGATGTCTAGGGGTCTAGCCAACCGGATATGTGACTCATTAGGCATTACCGGGATCACTCCTAGTGCATTTCAGGGCAGAATTGCCGGGGCCAAGGGTCTGTGGATGGTAGATAAGCACGATTCTGATGTCTCCATAGAAAGTAACGTGTGGATTCAAATATCTGACTCGCAATTAAAAATCGAGCCGCACCCGCAGGTTTGGAAAGAGCCTGTAGATGAAGAAAAGCTCACATTCGAAGTTGTAAAATGGTCCAAGCCCTTGCATACGGTGGACCTGAACACTCAACTTTTGGCTGTCTTGGAGCACGGAGGGCATATTAAAGAATACATCGCCGATCTCACACGAGCTGGAATTAGGGCGGTATATGAAGACTTTGCTACTGTCGTCCAGTCGGACAGTCCCGTTCTTTGTCGCAGTCTAATACAAAAGATAAGGCCACCAGCAGAAAGCAGTAGCGTGGGAATGCTTCACAAGGTCAGACGCTTGGAGGATTGGATGGCTGACGATGCGGAGGCCGTCATTCGACTGACAGAAGCAGGCTTTGCACCTCGGACTTTCCACCCTCTTCGGAAGCGTTTAAGGAAATGTCTCATGGGTCTGCTAGATCAATATGTAGAACAACTGCATATTGAGGTACCTCTTTCCACCTATGCATTTTGCATCGCAGACCCATATGGGGTCCTGAAAGAGGATGAAGTTCACTTTGGATTCTCCAGTAATTGGCGTGATCCTGAAGGTCAATTCGAAGACAATCTGATCGACGGTATGGACGTTCTTGTAGCTCGACTCCCCGCACATCTCCCGTCTGATATCCAGCGCCGAAGGGCTGTGTGGAAGCCAGAGCTCCGGCATTTCAAGGATGTTATTGTTTTCTCTACGGTTGGGACAACGCCACTGGCACACATGCTGTCCGGTGGTGATTACGATGGAGATACACCGTGGGTTTGCTGGGACCAAAAGATTGTGCAGAAGTTTCATAATTCCGACCTACCCACCATGGATTACCCTCCGGAGTACTTTGGTCTTGAGACACATAATGTGCCAATGAAGGATATTGACTCATGGGATGAGTTTCTTCAAAGCACGTTTACATTCAACCTAACCATGTCTAATCTGGGCAGGTGTACTGTCGAGCACGAGAAGATATCCTACGACGAATCGATCGACTCACCAAATGCCAAAGAGCTTGCCTGTCTCCTCGGCCACTTGGTGGATGGTCGTAAGGGAGGGCTCCGCTTATCAGAACACGCGTGGCGAGCATACCGCAAAAGGGTTAGCCCTAGAGCACGGGATGTGCCTGCATACAAGAACCCCAGTCGAAGACCCAAGCCCACCAACATAATAGACTATCTGCAGTTCGAAGTTGCTCGGAAAGAAAAGGACACTGTTTTGAGGCTACTGGAGGGGTCATTAGCTGAAGCGGGGACCACGTACGAACATGATAGAGACCTTACAAAGCCGTGGGACGAGGCACGGGAGCAGGCCGAGAAAGACCGACGTGAAGGTGGACAACTTCATGTGATTTTGAGAAATGTCACCCAGGATATCGATGATCTCTTTGACAGATGGATCCGCTCGGTCACCGGCGAACATTCATTCTCGGCTGTCTCGTTGGAGATCGCTGATCATGCTAGAGCCATTTCACCACCCGAGGGTGATCACCCTATGATCCTTGTCTGGCGACATAGTAAGGATGCGTGGCTCCAATTGCTCGCTTCGTACTCGTACAAGAAGCATCCTGAATCGAGTTTTGCCTTCCATGCCTTTGGGGAGATACTCTGCCAATTAAAAGCCAGTAATGTGCCGTCACGATCAGTGGTAAACGAAATCCTAGCTTGTTACCGGGTGAATCAGAAGGTGGTCGCAAGGTTGACAGCCGGGGACACAGCTGAAGAGCAAGACAGTGATGGCGGCGATGAATATGAAGGCGCAGATGCTATAACGATGCTTCAGGCAACACAACTTTCTGGGGGGTTCTACGACTGGGATGATGGTCTATCTGTGGAGTGAGAT